ATTTCTAAAGATGTTAAGTGTGAATACCTTGGTGTGACTGGTGTGGAAACATCATGTGGGGGATTATTGCTCAAGATGTCAAGTGTGAAGGTAAGTGGGAAAACCATGTTGTTAATCTTGTGGAAACTTTATGTGGGGGGATTATTTCTAAAGATGTTAAGTGTGAAAACCTTGGTGTGACTGGTGTGGAAACATTATGTGGGGGATTATTGCTCAAGATGTCAAGTGTGAAGGTAAGTGGGAAAACCATGTTGTTAATCTTGTGGAAACTAATTGTGGGGGATTATTTCTAAAGATGTAAAGTGTGAAAACCTTGCTATGACTGATATTGAAACTTCTAGTTGGGAATTATTACTCAAAGGGTTAAGGGTAAAAGTAGGTGTGAAAACCTTGGTGTGACTCTTGTGGAAACTTCACGTAAGAGATTATTTTCTTTGCTATTTTCCGAGGTAAGTCATCCACGTGAACATTAATAAAGTTGTCAGAGGTACAATCAGTAATATTAACAGATAAAAAACGTACTTTTTAGAGATGGCATTTTAGTTTACTGTTTTGTGGAAGAGAGTGTTTGTAAGTTGACCATGTTTAGTCCTGAATTTAAAAGCTTGCAGAGTTGTCGATTATGACTGTACAAATTAACATTACTTTTATCAGGTGCGATATAGTAACCAAACATCACGTATAAAGCTGCTTATAATAACTATAGTTTTAAATACAATAAATCCAGTCATTTTCTTCTTTTTTCCTATTCTTGGAAACCCATTAAACAGTTTTTAACAATACAAAACAATTCTTACATTACTTGAAAGGTACTCTTAATGGGCCGTGTCTGTCTAGAAAGTTGTTGATTTGTGTTTGAAGTTGCTATTGCGAAAAACATTCTAGACAGTTGCATTTCGTTAACAATACCTTTCATATATACTCTCTTCTGGCTATACCTTCTCTCAAGTAAGAGCTTATGAAGTTCAGTTTTTGAAGCATATATTCATATTTAAACATGAAGGAGTTTGATTGTATGAATACACTTTACTTACATTTCGTATTTAGATTTTTGTGATAAATATTTTTTACAGACTGTGGTTTTAGTGCCCATCGAAAATGCTCTGAAAAAATCCCTAATGACTGTTTACCAGACCTGAAGTACATTAAGAGAGTGTTTGGAATTGATCTTACCACACTAGTCAAGGCCCACAATACTCCTCGACCCTTTGTTGTGGACATGTGCATTAAAGAGATAGAGAATCGAGGTGGGATCGAGCAGCTTTGTGCTGATTGTAACTGTGTTTTCTAGAATATCCTTTGTGCATTTCTCTTCAAGTTAATTTAAGCTCTGTGGTCTTTTCATATCGCAAATGGGATATATAATTTACTGAAATTTCAAGTATATTGTATCTTTTTAAATTTTAAACAAAAACTAACATTTTCTATGTGGTGCTGTTAAACTTAGGTAGGTTCATTGTGTCATTTGTTTAAAGCTTATAGCATTAAATAGAGATATTTACTTAGTTTTTTTATGATAAATGGAAAATCAAGTTTTTAATTCTGTTAAATTCTCAATAGGTTTCTTGTGTCATTTGGTTAAAAGTTATTTAAAAATAGTGTTCACTCTAAGCTTTTGAATAATTTTAAATGTGACTCGTATAACACTTTATTGAAGTAACTGTTACTCTAACTCGAAATGCATATTATTTGTACTTGAAAGATAGGCAGTATTTCTTCTACAAATATTTATCAGTGAATAGGAGGTGCAAGTAAGTTTTGGTGGAAAACTGAAAATATATATATATATGTCATTTTTGTGTTGCTATTTAGAGATTAGGGGAAGAATTGATAATTCATTGTTAATTATGTAATATTATTAATAATTTTGGCAGTTTTGAGCACCAAACTAATTGAAGTTGTATGTTCAATCATGGGCATATTTGAGAAACTTATGTCACTAAAAGTGTTCATTTTGAATTAACATTAAGGTTATTGTTTGACCTCCCAGGATCTCAGTATTAAATCCTAGTATGTGCTTTAAATAATTACATCAAGTGAAAAAATTTTAATGTCTCATTGATGTGCTAATACAGTCTTTCAAAATTTGTGTTTGGTATCTTAGACTTACAAAAATGAAATATTTTGTTTTTCTACTAATTATTTTAACAGGTTTAGAAATGGAAGGGCTCTACAGAATTTCAGGATTTAGTGATGAAGTTGAAGATGTAAGGTTAAGTTTTGAAAAAGGTGGGTATGAGAGTTCTTGAAATACTTAACCATGAGCTATCTAATGAATGGCAACTACAAAAACTGTCGTTGTAACTAAAAATGTGTTTAGTTACAAACTGCTAGTTTGATTCACATATAACTAATCGCTACTTATACAGCCGTTGTTTAATAATCACTACTTATACAGCCGTTGTTTAATAATCACTACTTATACAGCCGTTGTTTTATAATCACTACTTATACAGCCGTTGTTTTATAATCACTACTTATACAACTGTTGTTTTATAATCACTACTTATACAGCCATTGTTTTATAATCACTACTTATACAGCCGTTGTTTTTCTCCATCCTTGAAGATGGTTTACATGCAGATATTAGCCCTGGAGCTTTTGAAGATGTTCATGTCATTACTGGGGTCCTGAAGCTTTTTTTCCGTCTTTTACCCATTCCCTTGATCACCTTTGATACGTACCCTTTGTTTATGAATGGTGTTAGTGAGTATCAGGTTTTTTACATGTGTAATATACTGTTATAATTAAAATATTAGTAAGTTGTTGAAAGGATATGAAAAATAAACAAAATTATGTACATTTGAAAAGCATATTTTACCAATGTTAGTATGGAATATATATATGAATATATTTAAACTTTACTCTAAAATAAAATTCAGATAATAATCTCAATTATTAATACCCTCTGAGTGCAAGAAGAGGTAGGAATAACACATTTTCTTGTTTAATTATCTTGTATGTTTGCCATAGGTTAGGGACAAGGTAATAAATATAATTCATTTGTAACAAGAAACAAAATGTTGAAAAGTAACACTGAATAAAAATCAAAATTATGTAGAAGAGATGGATATGTTAGAAAATGTGTTTTGGAAACTTTTATTTCAGTATTTTCATTAGACTTGTGTACGATATTTTTGATAAATTTGTATAATTCTTCGTGAACTTGAATAGTTTGGACATACAATTCACAAAGTTGTTGTTAGTATAATTTGATTTTTTGTATCCCATACATTCTACTGGCATGTTCTGGTTTTGTGAGGATAGTCAAAAATCCAGTCTTTTTTTTACATTTGAATTTCATTTCATTATATGATAATATCTATGAAATAAATACTTGTAATATTGTTGTTTTTTTACATATGAATAAAATGTTTTCCTTGTTCTAAAGTGATAGTTTAATTAAATAACATCTATCAGGACAACAAACCTTGGAAGGAAGACTGGATGGCTTAAGAGAAGCTATTAACAAACTACCACCAGCTCACTATCAAACCCTTTTAAATGTGCCAGTAGGTACTTCACCTGTTTGATAGTGAGCTGGTGGTAGTTTGTTAATAGCACTAATCAGTAATTTCCCTGAAGTACCTACTGGCATATTTAAACAGGTAAACTACTTATTAGTGCTATTAACAAACTACAACCAGCTCACCATCAAACCCTGAAGTACCTTCAACAAGCGAGTGAATTTTCATTATTCTATGTCGTCCAGGAATTTAATCTAAAACATTGATGAATAAGCTTGTACATGAAACTTGAATGTTAGGCAGGACCGTCCTGGTTTCTAATAAACTCCCACACTATTTGAGATGATGTAGATATTTGTGCAAGTTAAAAAAGTACCAACTAGAAAATCAACTGATAATTATAAAACCAGTACAGTTTCCATGAAGCACTGCAAGGAGTTTGAAGCTGAAATAGAAAGACAACCATAAGATAATCAAAGGTACATAAGTGAAAACATGTTTGGATTGGAGAGATCGTTTTAAGTATGTTTTTGTTATAAATAACGTGATAATTGAGTAATAGTATTTTCATGGTGTTAATAAATTCAAGAATTATTATATACATTAATAATTAAAAGTTACAGGTTTTGAATTGAAAAAAATCAGATAAAGTTTTACCGAAAGCTTCTCTCTGTTTGAATGGATGAGATGACTAGAAAAATGCTTTTTGCTTAATTTAAAAGTGACAACTATAGAATGAAAACTAGGTTCAGTTTTACAGAAGTAATATTTTTCACTGTGTTAATGGGCAAAACGTGTTAAGCTGTTGTGTTTAAAAGTTAACCACTGTAAAATGTTTTAGAGTTCACTCAAGCAGAAAGTAATGGATCCGTTTTTACTGACTTCGGTTTTCCTATATTACGTGATCCCTGTGATCCTTCGTGTTGTCTGAAACTTTTTCTCTCGATCATGATAACCGATCATTTGTGTTATCGTTCTTTTAGGGTAACTGAGAAACAGAAGCAAAACCTGATGACACCACACAACCTTAGTACGGTGTTTTGTCCATCTTTGATGCGAACACCTGATTTAATTGCTCAGCCGGGACAACTTGCGGCCTGGCACCAAGAAAGTCTTGTCATTGAAATTCTTATTTCCCACCAGAGGGTTCTCTTTGAATATGGTTAGGTGGAATCTGAGTATTCTTCCTACTTATAGTTCTGTCTGTCTCTCTAATGTTTCATTCAATTTATCTTAACACTATAACTTGGTTTATTTTAATACACAGAGCTGTATTAAAATACAAAAGGTCTTATAAAAACAGACTACACCATATCATATCCAAGCTTTAAATCATCTACAGTTGGAGAGAGAGACAGAAGTGGTAGTTAGACATTTGAAATTATGTTAATTTCAACAAAGATATTGCAACTTGCATGTGAAAGCTTGTGAGAAAGGTGTAAATGTCAACAGAAAGACTGTAATGTGTTTGTCTTTGTATAAATGTCAACAGAAAGACTGTAACGTTTTTGTCTTTGCGTAAATGTCAACAGAAAGACTGTAACGTGTTTGTCTTTGTGTAAATGTCAAC